CCAATGACAACAAGCAGCTTCTACCTGTTAAATTAAGACACAGATGCAGGGAAAAGCTCCATGGGAAGCAGGAAGGAAGGAGCTGCAGCCTCCTCCACGGTGCACTTACAGCTTTGGGACTGCTTATCTGCTGGACGTGGGACAGGTCACAGACTGCTCCGGAGCGTGTCACCAGCCGGGTCGGTGGGTGGCCGGGCTCCTCCAGGACTTGGTCACCTGGGCAACACAAGGAGCAGGTCGAGCTCTTTTGGAAACCCAGGGCACCCAACTGGGCTGGCACAGCCTTGGCTGCCGTCCCCAGCATTCCCACCTGCCACAGGATGTGGGAAGCTCTTCTGGATGGAGTCGTGCAGCAGCTTAGCCCCCTCAGATGGGAACCTGAGCAGAACCAGAGGAAGGCACCGTGTCACTGGGATACTGCACTGGCACCTGGCAATGTCACCTGGTACCTCAGGCTGGCACAGAGGCCTCTTTGCTGTCTCCTGTAAGATCCCTCCCCTTGTGCCTCATGGTCCTCCAAGCACAGGGGTACCCAAGGCAGATGGCACTAAGGGTGTCTTTGTTACCAACACCTAAATGCTGGAGGTGGGGGGACCAAACCCCAGCCCCAGGTTCAGCTGATCTGTCATTCCTTAAGTGGCACTGCCCATGCTGCCCCTCCCAGGGGTGCAGGGAGGCCTGGGAGCTGCAGTGGGATGGGAGCAGCCCTACCTGATGTAGTCATAGAGGTCGTGCCACTTCTCCCCCTTGGGCACAGGGAAGGCCAATTCCCGGGGCATGGGAGCCACCCCGCGGCAGGACAGGTCACCCAGGCGGGCCTTGGTGAATGTCACACCTGGCAGGACAGGGACACACACACACTGAGCTCTCCAAGCCCAGGGAGCTGCCTGAAATCCCAGTTCCTGTGGGATACAGGCACACACCACTTCCCACTAGAGAAACAAAGAGCACAAGCCTGAGGTTTGCAACAAACCCACGTTTCACAGGGGTATTCCTGTAACTCTCAACCTCCAAAGAAGAGCCCAGAGCATAAACCCTTGGATCTCAGTTATAAACCCCCAGGCTCAAAATTCATGTCATTTCTGTTCACTGATTCAGCAGTTTCATATGACTTCTCTTAAGACTTGCTGCCCATTTTCTTATTTCCTCCATGATTTTTTAAATTTAGGAAAGTGAAACAGGAAAGGTTACAGGAAAGATACAGTAAGTTTCAGGAATTTCAAAGCACCCCCCTATAACTTCTTCCTCACTGATACTTCCCAGCAGGCCAGGCACTTCAGACAGAATTCCAGTACAAAAACAGAAAGAGAGAAAACAAAGGATTTGACCAAAGTACCTCTGCCACACTGTGCAGGTGGATAAAAAAAAAAGCAGGTTAGAAGATTTTTTACACAAAAAAAAGCACAGGCTCTTCCAGCAGATAAAAGCACAAGTCTTGCAGAAGTGAGGCTTGATGACACCTTTAATTTCTACCCCTGAAAAAATTTCTAAACTTAGAAAGATATTTAACTTTGCTCTTTTCCTTCACTTGTACAGCTGGGAAATGAGAGGATACTTTCCTTCAGAGTTTGGGAGATTGTATTCAATTCCAGATTTCGTTCCAGTGCCTGAAGGGGCTTCAAGAGAGGAGGGGAGGGACTTTGGACAAGGGCCTGGTGCAACAGGATAAGGGGAAATGGCTTCAAACTACCAGAGGACAGGGTTAGATGGAATATTGGGAAGGAACTGTTTCCTGTGAAGGTGGGGAGGCCCTGGCACAGGGTGCCCAGAGAAGCTGTGGCTGCCCCTGGATCCCTGGAAGTGTCCAAGGCCAGGCTGGACAGGGCCTGGAGCACCCTGGGACGGTGGAAGGTGTCCCTGCCTGTGTGGAAACTTAACATAGGGCAAAATATTTGGCACATTCTGTTCACATCATAGAGCATCAGTGCTCTGCCAGGGCTGCAAACTCAGCTTTGAGCCCCCACGGGCCCCCCCCAGGCTGGGCTGGAGCCTCAGCAGGAAGCAGAGGCCAGCCCGAGCTCTGGGCTCCTCACCTGGCTCGAAGAGCAGGTCGCTGGTGCAGAGGTTTCTCACGAGCAGGTTGCAGCAGAGTTTGACCCCCCTGAGGTGGCTGTACCTGCGGCTCAGGTACAGGGCCAGGATGGAGGGCAGGTCCAGCACCAGGCACGTCCAGCGCACGTCAGCCGGGGCTGCTCCGGGGACACCTGCGGAGGAGAGCACAGGAGGGAAAAGGGATGGTGGGAAAGTGGCTACAGACAGGGACCTTGCTGGACAGCAGACACACGGGTCACAGGGTTCAGAATGAAGTATTTACCAGGCAAGACTGCCACCAGGCCTGTGCCAAGTGGGAGAGGGGAAAACATGTCTTGTAAGCTCAGGGGTGGGGAAGGACAGACAGGCATCCCACCGCCTCCATGGGCTCATGCCTGGTCTGACACTGCACCCCACTGTTTGGGAGAACAGGGATGGGGGACAGCCCAAGCAGGAGCTACAGCTCTGACCTGGCTGCAGAGGGACTCCTGCTCAGGCCCACCACTGTTATCACAAAATCCTGGAATGGTTTGGGCTGGGAGGGACAACCCATCTCATTTAAACCCATCTCATTCCATCCCCTGCCATGGGCAGGACACTTTCCACTAGCCCAGGCTGCTCCACACCCCATTCAACCTGGCCTTGGATACTGCCAGGAACGAGGCAGCCACAGCTTCTCTGCAAACACATTGAGCCAACCTCAGAACTCAATTTACTTTCTAACAATTAGTTTTGGTGGTGGTGTGCCAGCCCAGTCCCAGCTCCTCACCCCGCCGGGCCTTGCCCTCGCTGGCTGCCCCACAGACAAAGGGGAACTGGAGCCAGGTGGCCGAGGATTTGAATTCCTTGAAGAGGTTGGAGAAGGAGATGCGAACCACCTGGTTTTCCTGGGAAGAGACACACACACGGAGCTTTAGTCACCCTGGTGGCTTCGGCAGGGAAGTGCTGCAGAGGAGGAACCATGTGCCCCTGTCTCCTGTCTCCTCCACATCCCCTGGCCCCGGCGGAGATGACACCACGATGGAAACCATCTCCAGCCTTGAGTGACCCACCAGCAGCAAAGAACAGCCACGTCCTGCAGCCCCGAAGCCCACCCAGTGCCATCCCCAGTCCTTCAATCAGCTGTGATGGCAGTGTAAGAGGCCACTCCGTGTCACGGACCTCGGTGGTGACATCCAGGTGCACGAGGAAGTGCTTGTGGGGCAGGGGCCTGAAGAGCAGGTAGAGGTAGCGCCCTGTCAGCCCCAGGGACTGTGTCCCTGCCCGTGGCAGCTGCAGGTAGCTGCTGGCTGGGTTGGAGCCTCGGATGCGGTAGATTGTTCCCTTCATCCTCGTGTCCTTTGGAAACCAGGGAAGGATGGGGGTGGGTCAGCACTGCCCACCCTTGGCCAGTGCCCCCCGCCCCATGGCGGCCCCATTACCGTGAGGGCGGTCACATCCCCTTCCTTGGCAGAGCGCTTCCACTCCTCCACACGGAAGTGCTTGAAGATGTTCAGGTAGGGACGCTGCCAGGCTGCCAGCACCAGGATCATCGGGGGGATGGAACCCCAGCCTGGACACCCTCCCATTGCCCCCTGTATGCCCCCAGGTCCCCTGCCCCATTAGCACCCCACTGTCTGCGTGTCCTGAGTCTCCCCAGCCCCAGGGTCAACCTCCTGATGCAAGCCTGGTGATACTCTCATAATCTCTTTAGCCCAATTCCCCCCAGCCCTGGTGACACCCCCAAGCACCAGAGCCCTGCTGAGAACCCCATTACTCCCCTCCTCCAGCCCCAGGAAAGCCCCTGGAACCTCCAAGGCCCGAGCTCCTCCAGTCCCAATGACATCCCCACCACCTGCACACCCCTGACCTTGCAGCCCCGGTGCTGTCTCTGTGCCCCGAGCACGGTGACAGACCTGCTCATGGAACCCCATGTTCCGAGTCGCCCCGCGGTGACAGCCCACTATCTCCGCGCTCCAAGCCTCCCCCTCCCTGGTGGCACCCCGTGAACTCCATGTCCAGAGCCCCCATGCCCAGTGACGGCGTTGTATCTCAGTGCATGCAGCCCCCCAGATCCAGCGACGCCCCCGTGCCCGGTGACACCCCCGGTACCCCCGTGCCCGGTGACAGCGCTCCGAGCGCCAGTGAGGACCCTGAGCCCGAATCCAACCAACGCCAGCCCGAGTGACATCCCTGTTACCGCCATGCTCCAGACCCACAAGCCCTTCAGCCACGGTACTCCCGGTACTCCAGAGGTCCCCCATGCCCGGCGCCCACCCCGCGCTCCGGTGACGCCCCCGTTACCGCTGTGCTCCGAGCCCCGCCGGAGCCGCCCCATCCGCGGTGACACCGCCGGCACCCCCGGGCCCCGAACGCCCATCCCGGTGATGCCTCGGCTCCCCCAGCCCCACTGACGCCCCACGTCCCCGCCGTGCCCCGGATCACCGCGGTTACCCGGTGTCCCCCCTCCAGTCCCCGCTGTCGCCCCCGGTCCCCCCCACCTGCCGCCATGGCGCGCGCCGCCGGATCAACCGTCCCGCGCGGCCGCAGCCAATCAGCGGCGCGCTACAGCCCGTCACGTGATCATGTCCCGCCCTAACCCCGCCCCCCGGGCGCTGACCCCGCCCATCCCCGTCCCCGCGATGGCGACAGAGCCGGGCACGAGCGCGGGGCCATGCTGCTTTATAAAGTGCCCGGGGCTCAGAGCGAAGGGTCGCCGAAGCCGAAGCGGTGCTGGGCGGCGCGGATCTCCTGCAGCAGCGCGTCGTTCTGCAGGCCGAGCTGCGGGAAAGGGCAGCGGGGTCAGGGCCGGGCTGCGCGGCACTGCCCGCGAGACGCGGGGCCGCTCGGTGGCTCCGCTGCGACACCGGCGCGACAGGGATCGTCCCGCGGCACCGCCGCGCACCCAGCTGGGAAGGGAGCGGGGGAGCGGTTCGTGCTGCCCGCAGCCCCGCCCGCCCCGCGGGGCACGGACACGAACCTTGACGGTGTATTTGTAACACTGCTCCGCCTCCAGCTGCCGCCCGCCCTGCAACACAGCGCCGGGAGCAAATCCTGGGGTGGGTCAGGCGGGAAAAGACCCCGAGAGCGCCAAACCCACCCGTGCCCTCAGCACTGCCAAGGACACCGCTGAGCCCTGTCCCCAAGTGCCACATCCAAACGGCTTTTAAATTCCCCCAAGGCATGGGGACCCCACCCACTGCCCTGGGCAGCTGTGCCAGTGCCTCACCACCCTTTCCATGAAGGAATTTTCCCAATATCCAACCTAAACCTCCCCTGGCCCAGCCTGAGGCTGTTTCCTCTCATCCTGTGCCTGTTCCCTGGGAGCAGAACCCGACGCCCCCAGGTGTCCCCTCCTGTCAGGAGTTGTGCAGAGCCACAAGGTCCCCCTGAGCCTCCTTTTCTCCAGGCTGAGCCCCTTTCCCAGCTCCCTCACAGCCTCTCCTGGTGCTCCAGCTCCTTCCCCAGCTCCCTTCCCTTCCCTGCACCTGCTCCAACCCCTCAATGTCTGTCTCATCATGAAGGGGCCCTATACTGCCCCCAGGATTTAGGCTGCCTCAGCAGTGGCCAGCACCCCAGGAAAGACATGGGATCTCCAACGTGGAATGACATTTGTAAGAAGCTTAGCAGGGAGGACACGCCCTGGACAGTCGGTGCCTCAGGGTGCTGCTTTTGCCATCCAAGCACTCGCTTTCCCTGAGAACAGCCCCCAGCCTTTTTATCACAGCTCTACACCAGCTCTTCAGGTTCATGAGCAGATGCCAACCCCCCCACCAGCCCAATGAACCCCCACAAACCCCACTCCATCAGGCTGGCAGGGGCTGGCCACTCACCTGCAGGCAGATGAGGGCGAGATATCCCCACACTTCAGCGTTGGTGTTATTTAGGGCATTGGCTTCAGAGAGAGCATCTTCTGCTTCCAGCATCTCTTCCAGCTTGAGGGAGAGAAGGAGAGGCATGGACAAATGACAAAGAGCAGGCAGATAGAGCCTCCCAACTGAACAGGCACTGCTCTAACAGCAGAAGGAATCAGTGAAACAGAAGCTCCTAGGAGGGCTTTCTCTTGCCCTGAGAGAAGTGCAAGGGAAAGAATTTAGGGCACAGACAAGGAGTTATCCTCAGTGCCAAAGCATCCAGATCTCCAGTCTGGAGCAGGAGCTGCCCACTGCTGACCCCCGTGGGATCACACACTATTTCTAAATTAGCCTCCAGCTGTAAGGAAAGCAGCACAAACCACTTCACCTCCAGGAACTGAGTGAACCAGCTCCATGAGGAAACATGGCTGTGTTCCTGCTCCCTATTCCTGCTGTGCAGCAGCTCTGGGCATGCAGGAGTAGCTGTGCCCAGGCCACCAGTTACTCCCTAACCTGATTTCACAGCCTCCCAGGAGGTAAACATTTGGCCAAGGGGGAACAGAAGTTTAAATTCCTTCCTTGATTGCTTCCTCAGCCAAACTCCCTTGGAGGAAGCTGGCAAGGTGTCCCTTGGGGAGATGGATACTGCACTGCTGGTGGCTGGGTGTCCTTGGCAGCCCTTCAGAAGTGCTGGATTCCCTTAGACAGGGAAAGCACCGAGATTCCTCCCTGCTGACATCCCACTCAGTGCCTTGGTGACATGCAGGTCATGTGCAGGCAGGAACTTGGAGCAGAGCCCAGATTGTTTGCCATGACACCCTGGGGAAAGAGGTGCTGGCAGGAGCTGGGATGAGGGGAAAGGATGGTTGTTCCCAGAGCAGGGGCTGAAGGTGACACCATCCGGGTGCCACGCTGGGGCTATCACAGCACACAGGACATGATGGCCTTTGGGAGCACTGGCTCACAGGCAGCCAAGAGTTGCTTTAAACAAGGGGATCCTGCAAAAGCCAGCCCTGTGTCCTGTGCCACCAAGTGAAGCCCAGAGGACACGAAGGCAGCTGCACTCACCCTGTAGCAAGCGATGCCCACGCCCAGCCAGGTGAGACAGGAGGCAGAGTTGTCACAGGCGAGCAGGTAGATGTGCTTGGCTCGGCCATACTGCCAGGAGAGAGACAGACACACACATCCCTCTGCATCACTCCACAGACAGGGGTTTGCCAAACACCCTGTTGTTCTGGGGCTCAGACACCCTGCTGCTGCAGGAGTGATTTGTTCTGTGGGAACTCCCCCTCCACAGCCCTGCTGGCTCCTCACCTCCTTCTCGTCCAGGTAGATGGAGCCCAGGCGCAGGTAGACAAAGTGCATATCTGCAGCATCCTCCTCGAAGCTGATGACTCGCTCATAGCAATCCTTTGCTTTGTCAAAGTCCTTCTGCAGGTAGCACAGGTGCCCTTTCTGAGCCCAGACGTTTGGATTCTGTGCACCAAAAACCAGGAGTGAGACACGGATGGGAGAAACACCTGAGGGGGGGCTGGGACACTGAAAGCAGCAGAAAGGAGGAGCTGAGCGGTGTTTAATTGCATTATCACAACAATTCCCTGTGCAGTGCTCCAGACTGGGGATAGCATGGCTGGAAGCTGCCTGGTGGCAAGGGAAGGACCTGGTGGCAAGGGTCAGGAGCACCAGGAGCAGCTGAAGGAGCTGGGAAAAGGGCTCAGCCTGGAGAAGAGGAGGCTCAGGGGGGACCTTGTCGCTCTGCACAGCTCCTGACAGGAGGGGACAGCCGGGGGGCGTTGGGCTCTGCTCCCAGGGAACAGGGACAGGATGAGAGGAAACAACCTCAAGTTATGCCAAGACAGGTTCAGATTGGATATTGGGGGAATTTCTTCATGGAAAGGGTGGTCAGGCACAGCTGCCCATGGCAGTGGTGGAGTCACCATCCTTGGAGGGATTTAAAAAACATGTGCATGTGGTAGTTGGGGATTGTTTAATTGTGAACAATTGGTGGTATTGGGGAATGGTTGGTTTTGAAATCTCAGAGGGCTTTTCCAACCTAAACAATTCCATGATTCTGTGATATCAGGGCAGGGTTTATGGAGAGAGTTAGGGTCAGTGGGCTGCCTGCAGGACACCAGCAATGTGTCCTGTAGGCACACAGCATTCCCAGGTGTCATCTTCCCCCTGCTTTCTTTTCAGTCTGCCTCCCCAAAGTCACCTTCTTGCAGAGAGCTCAATAGCAACCTTGTTTGTCATGAAACAGAACCCGACTCCCCCACCCAGGGACAGAGGATCAGGATATACCCATTGAGAGAGAAAAGAAAGGCAGGTGCTGCAGAGGGAGAGGCAGAGACAGGCTCTGGGATGCTGCCTGCCTGTGCAGGGAGTGCCAGGAGACTGTGACAACGGGCTAACAAAGAGAGCAGTGCTGCAGCCACGGCCTGGTGTGACTGCCCTCCCACTGAAATGCTCTGGACTAGCACTGGGATGGTAAATTTGGAATGAAGCAGGGGCTCTGGGCTCTCCCACAGCAGCACTGCCCGGGAATTACCAAGGGATCGATGCGAGCGGCCTCGCACAGACACTCCCCACACCTGGGGAAGTCTTCCCGCAGCAGGTAGGTCCAGGCCAGGGCCAGGTAGTAGGCACAGGTGGGGCCTCCCTGGAGGCTCAGCAGCTCGTGGGCCAGTGCCTTGTGAACAAACTGGGGAGGAACAGCACAGGTGGTGGTTAGGGGGGCAGGGACACCATGGACACCGCAGCAGGACAGGGCAGGAGAGCTGACTGACACCTCTCTGACTTCCACAAACAGAAAACACAAAGAGAAATTTCTTTGTTGGTCTACTGGAAGGTATCCCTGATATAGTGGAATATGTCTCTGGGCTGTTTCCCCCTGCCCATAGCAGGGGGTTGAAATGAGATGAACTTCAAGGTTCCTTCCAAACCAAACCATTCCAGAATTCCATTTAGTTGCTCTAAGCTACTCTTTCTGCCATGTCAAATTTAGGCAGGCAGACAATGTGACAACCAGAGATGTCCCAGAGATGACTTGGTAGGACAGGCACATTCCACAGCTGATACAAAAATCCCTCCAGCATACACAAGTGTCCGAATCACAGGAGTTCAGGCATTTTGGAAGCACCCCAGTAATGGATCCCATCTCTGAATGCACAAGGAAGAGCACCCTGTACCATTTCTGAGCTGGCTGTTCCTCTGCAGCAGGCAGTGCTGGGCTGGGTGTTCACAGCCAGCATTGTGAGCTCCATGCTCTGCCTGGCCACACTTTTGCATCTCTGGGCAGTGGTGGCTTTGCTCCCCCTTGTGCTCAGCCTCTGGAGTAGCCATGGCTCATTCCCTAAGGCTCAGAAAGGGGCTGGCTGGAGCTCTTTGGGAATAAACCAGCCTCCCTCCCCTCTCCTTCATTCCCTGCTAAACTAACCCGGACAGCATTGAATTTCATCAGGAATTCCACTGTCTTCATGAAGATTGTGCAGGGAGGTGGCTGAGGTTCTGGAGCTGCAAGAAAATGTGTCTCTATCAGTTCCAAAGTGGGGTTTTTATTTCTGGAGTCAAAGCAGGTCCTGACATCCCAGTGGAGACAGAAAAATCTCTGCAACATGGAGCAAAACCCAGGAGCTGGCAGGGGAGGCTGAAGCAGAGATTAACTCAGCATTTCTTTCTGAAGGGCTTAAGTTTTGTAGGATATCTGAAAAGAAATTACACTCTTCACCCACTAATTTTCCAGTCCAAACCCAGAGGAAAAAAGGTGGAAATTGATGAATTATGCTTGTCAGAGACAACTACAGTGAAGCTCCTGCCTCCCCAAAGCAACCAGGGGGCCCTGAGGCACCCAGCACTGCCATTTCCAGCACCACAGGGGCTGTGGAGGAGGCAGATCCCACACCACACAACCAGAGGGGATTCTTAGGGACATTTAAGAGCTGGCATCTCAGGAGGAAGAAAAGGAAGGTGCAGAGTGCAGTGACATGAGGGAGCTGCATTCACCTGCTGGCTGTCCATCCTGAGATGTGCTGCTCTGAAAATCAGAGTGAACCTGCTTTGCCTGCAGATTCCCTGGCTCAGGAGAGACAACAGGCCTTGGCAGCACGGGGGCCATGGCTCACTGCTCCCACATTACTCCCCACCATTCCCACAGGACCTTCTCCCAGCTCCCCACGTCCCCATTCCCAAACCTTCTGGGACTTCCTGCACTGCTGTAGCCTCTTCCATGGATGTCACACCCTCCACAACCTCTGGTGGTTTGTCAGCTGAGCCATCTGGAATCTTCTCTGGAATGAAACCCCCAACAACCATTAGGTGGAAGGCCATAAACTTCCCAGTTTAGAACATGATTCCACAAAACAAAACAAAACAAACAAACAAAAAACAAAACAAAAAAAAAAAAAAAAAGAGAGAGAGAGAGAGGAGAGAAAATAAAAAAGATACATCAGGTTTTCAAAGCTGGGAAGAAATTTCATTGCAGGAAGCAATACCTGGGGCTAGGGTTTTTAGCACAAGATTACCATGTGAAGCCAGCAACAGGTATAAATGAGGCAAGATGAGAGGAAACAGCCTCAAGTTACACCAGGGAGGTCTATGTTCAATGATAGCAAAAAATTTATTCACAGAAAGGGTGGCCAGGCATTGAAACAGGCTGCCCAGGGCAGGGGTGGAGTCCCCATCCCTGGAAGTGTCCAAAGGCCATGTGGATGTAACAGCTGGGGATATGGGCTGGTGATGAACACAGCAGTGCTGGGTTAACAGCTGGACTCGATCTTGGAGGTCCTTTCCAGCCTGAGTCATGCCATGATTCTATGAATATCCCTTTCCTCATAATCAGAAGGGACAAAAACCCACATGTGTCACGAGCCTGCCTGCCTGAGGCACTGTGCATGAGTGGTGATAACGTTAAAAATAAAGGCAGTCAGCATTTCCTGCAGCCTGGCCAAATGTTTGGGACTCGGGACAGACAGCCTCAGCTCAGGCTGGACTCAGAGGGGCTCCAAAGGAAGTCTTGACCTCAGGGTCACTGCCAAGCAGCTGGTTTGCACTTTGGAATGCTGTGTTGGGAACTCACAGTGACAGCTTCCATGGAATTCTGTTCTGGCTCACAGTCCACATCTTCTACCTTTACCCTTTGGATTTCTCCTCTTAAAAACTCTCCTCTCCTTCCACTGTTCACCACACAGATCCACCCCTCCTTGCTGGTGTGAGGGCACCTCCTGGGTTTGTCTGTTACCTGGCTCTGTGCTGGGAGGACTGGGCTTTTTCTCTTCTCCCTCAGCAGCCTCAAGGAGTCTCCTCTCCTCTTCAAGCTCTGCTCGCAGGAGCTTCTTAGCCTCACGGAAGCTCCTTTCTGCCTGAATGTAATTATTCTGCAGCTCATAAAACAAACCTGTGGGAGAGACAGAGCAGCATCAGCAGACACCCAAAGGAAGCAAAATGCTTCCCTTAGCCCTCAGCTTGGAGCAGGGAGAAGAGGACCGGGGGCAGGAACAATGCTTGGCTCTACAGGAATACCCTGAGCACCAGAGTGGCTTGGTTTGGTACCTGAGAGGGTCCAGGCTATGATGCTGGATGGCTCCAAGCAGCAGGCATCCTCAAAGAAAATCTCTGCCTCTTCATAGTGCTGCAGCTTGACAGCCACAATCCCACAGAGCAGCAAGCTGGGGCAGGGGCAGAGCAGTCAGCCTTGCAGCCCCAGCAGTGGTGTGGGGATACACTCCACACCTCCCCACCCACCCACCAGGAGCACTCAGCACCTTTGGATGTGGTGGGGGTCCAGACAAACGGCCTGCTGGAAGCATTCCTGGGCTTTGGTGGCATCCTCATACAGGAGGCAGAAGGCTCCATAGGCCAGCCAGGACTGGATGCTGCGCTGGTCCCGAGCTATTCTCTGCACAACAGAGATCATCACTGCAGTCAGGCTCAGCACATGCCATGGGCTGGGCAGGCAATTCTGGAATGACCACAGCTTCCCTGGCCACCCCAGCCCAGCTGAGCAGTAATCAAGACCTTGTCTGTCACATGCAAGGGTGTCCCCTAAATGGGATTGTGCTGGAAGCCCACTTCCTCTAAGCCTTCTCCACCAGACACGTGCTCTCCAGCTCCAGCTGACACCTCCTAGGGCCCAGTGTCCCCAGAACTGACCCAGCACATCCCATTTCCCCTGGCCTCAGGCTGGAGTCCTCAGTGACCTGGCCAGGGACAATCTCACATCCTGCAGAGAGCAGCATCTCCCTGGGAAATCCCTCCCCAATCCTACTGCAGCCTGAGCATCCTGGTGACGCTCAGCTCCTGCCTCCCTCCACCACAGTGGGGGCTGGCTGAGCTGTCAGCAGTGGCCCCACTGTGATGCTGGGCTGTGCCACTCCACAGGTGATGGCAGGAGAGATCTGGGGCTCCCTCACCTGCTTGTAGAAGAGAGAGGCCAGTTTGAGGTCCTTGTTGGCTTCAGCTTCATGAGCAAAGAGCAAGAGCTGCTTCCTGGTCGTGTAGGGAGGAGGGGCAGGAGAAACATCTTCCCCAGACAGGAGCTGGTAGGGAAGGAGACAGTGTTAGCCCTGGGGAAGGGAAGAGTGCTTTGTGTGATCCCAGTATGGCAGCAGGTCCCACGCCAGCACTGCACACAGTACAGCCAGTATGGCTGGGGCTGCCACGGGGAAGGGCAAGCTGCTCTGTGCTGGGACACATTCCCAACATTCCCAGGTACCTCTGCCACACAGGCACAGGGCCATATCAATTTTTATAAGGACATGGAGGGACAGGACAAGGGGGAAGGACTTCGCACTGCCAGAAGGCAGGGTTAGATATTGGAAAGGAATTCTTCCCTGTGAGGGTGAGAAGGTCCTGGCACAGGGTGCCCAGAGCAGCTGTGGGTGCCCCTGGATCCCTGGAAGTGCCCAAGGCCAGGTTGGATGGGGCTTGCAGCAGCCTGACATAGTGGAAGGTATTGCTGCCCATGGCAGGGGGCTGGAATGAGATGAGCTTTAAGGTCCCTTCCAACCAAACCTGTCTGTGATCCTATGATTATTCACAGCATTCCTGAGATCAAGGTGATTACAAACTTCAGTGGAATCACTCACTGGTGACCCCAGCTCCTGCTCTGCCCAGCCACCCTCACCATGTGCCAGCTACAGCAGCTTTACCAGTGGCATCTCACACCTATCCCAGGATTTGGAACAGTGGGATACAAAGGCACTGGATCCCTGCCTCAAGTGTGGCTCATGGTCTACATGTGACAACTCCAGCAGATGAAGGCAATAGTCTACCTTGAAGGCAAAAGTCCTTCACCTGCCCTGCACCCAGAGCGAAGCCATGGCCCAAGTCACTCTGATTTCCCCTACCTTGTTCAGGGCCATGTGCATGTGGTCCACGAGGTACACATAGAGCTCACTGAGGAACTCCTGGAGCTGCTCCTTGGTCTCAAATGCTGTGGTCTTCAGGTATTTCTCCCTCACAATCTTCACCACAGAATACTGTGGAGACAAGGGACATTGCACAGGGCAGGTTCCCTCCCGTGCCCCCCACCAGCTCTGTAATCACACACAGACAGAGCCTGAAGCTCCAGCTTAGTTCTGAGAAATAAATCCAGCCCACCACTGATAAAAGGTTAAAAAAAAGGGGATGTTCCTTTCCCACCTCCCTGACCCAGCCTTTAGGGACAGCATGTACATGGCTCATCTCCTCAGGACAGAGAGAGGGTCTCCAGGAAGAGTGTGGCTGAGGCTGAGCAGCTAAGACAGTGAAACCTCGTTTCCCTGCCAGGGCAGACTGGGAATGTGAGAGCAGCCAGCTTTGCCTTTCTCAGGTTATGAGCATGGGGCAAATGGATGTGAGTAGCTCCCAATGATAGGAAGTGTTCTCTTGGTGTAGGACCAAAGCAGCTTGGTGCCTGCTCCATTAGAGGGGAATCCTGTCCCCTCAGTGCTCACTGCAACAGCTCCACGTGGCAAGAAAGGATTCTGGAGCACCACATCATCCTGAGTTACCCCCATGGAGCAGCAGGTCCTCACTGAGAAAGTGTCTGGACAAAACAAGTAGGGAAGCAAAAAGCACAAAGGAGTCTTCACCTTAAGCTGTTCCTTAAAAGCAAAATATTTCCCAGAGGTATTGAGTTCATAGTTGAGCTGACACTTTTGTTCCTCCATGGTTTTGTGGTCCATCACTCCCTGGTCAGGCAGCTGATTCCCAAAAAGCTCATGGTACTCTCTCAGGATGGCAACAGCCACACTTGTGACACGTTTGTGATAATCCTCCACCACCTAGGAAAGAAATAAATAAATTTCACAAGCCACTTATGCAATCAACCTTGATATGTATTTGATTTGCCACAGCCCACGCCTCCCATTAACTCCACCTGACTCAAGTCTCAATTAGTCTGTCACACATCCTTTCCTGTCCACGCCTCAGGGCTGAGAAAATATCTGCAGGTAAACATAAAAGAGCTCCTTCCTGCTAGGATTTTCCAACACAACCCAGTATTCCAGTCACTGCTATCTCTCCTATAGCAATATAATTGGCTGTAAGTAAAATATATCTCATTTACTGGGAGCCTTGAAACCCATGGCCAGCCCTCTTCAGCAGAATCTGTAATCTCTATAATCTTGATCCTTAAAAATTCTTGGTGATCTGAGAAAGGTCAGGGCTGATTCTGTCCAGATTTGTCTGAGTCTGATGAAGCACAGGGGGTGGTCTGAGACAAGAAACTGTTGGGACTGCCCAGGATATAAATGTAAGTTCTGGTAGCCTCTTTTCCCAGCATCCCATTTCCTTCCAAACATCCCCGCAAGGCTGCCTTCCCTCCCTTTGCTCCACCTTTTCATGGCTTCTCTTTGAATGGGATGTGAACACAAGTGATGAATGGGTTCCCCAGGCACACTGCTATGGAGATAACCCATAGAGAAGTTTCATTTTCTGTGTGTTTCATAGAATATGTTAAATTGGAAGGGATCCACAAGGATCGAGTCCAGCTCCTGGCCCTGCACAGATACCCCAACAATCCCACCTGGGCATCCCTGAGAGAATTGTCCAAGCACTCCTGGAGCTCTGGCAGCCTCAGGGCTGTGCCCATTCCCTGGGGAGCCTGGGCAGTGCCCAGGCACTCTTTTCCTAAAACCCATTAAAACCTTCCCTGACACAGCTCCAGCTGTTCCCTTGGGTCCTGTCACTGCTCACAGACAGCAGAGATCAAAGCTGCCCCTTGTGTGGAAGCTGCAGACCCCAATGATCTCTACCCTCAGTCTCTCTTCTCCAGGCTGAACATTCCAAGTGACCTCACCACTCCTCATATTGCCTTATTCCCGTCTAGACTCTTCACCACCTTTGTGGCCCTGCACCCCTGATCTCTTCAAACCTCATGCCCATGTTGCTGTGTGCTGAGAATGAAGACTCTGAGAGCAGGGTGGGGTGGCAGAGTGGTGACAAGGCCACAGGCTCTCACACGTACCTTCTTGGCTCCTTCCGTCCGTGCGGGCAGCGCAGGGTGGGGAGGAATCAGCTCCTTGACCCTGTGAGTGAGAGCAGAGGAGAGATCAGCAGATCCCCTGCCAGGGATGCTGGCTTGTGCAGTGTGAGGGCTCCACCCTGCCACGCTGTCCATGAGATACCTCACAGGCACCTGAGAGGAAACCTGAAATCTCAGACCACGAGTGAACAGGTCCCTACAACTGATGGTTGTGGCTTGTCATGACAGGGTTAACATTTATTATTAACCCAGACTGATCTCCTGGAGTAGCAGAGCTGTATTTTGGAGCTCCTGGTTCTGCAGAACAGGTGTAAGGAAGGAACCAGCCTGAGGAAAGCTCTGTGCAATTTGGTCACTGAACAGCCCAGACCACCTGATCCATCAGTTCCAACGCTGCCCAGTTTGGCTGTGGCTGTCTCAGCCACACCTCGACCCCCAGACCAAGCTCAGACCTCCAGACACCAGCCAGCCCTGCCTGGGCCTCTGTGGAGTTACAATGACCTTCCATTAGAATTAGCATATTTTTAATTAAGATTTTATTAAGGTGACGGTGGCTGAGCACTGGAGCAGGATTCTCTGTGGAGTCTCCTTCCTTGGATATACCCAAAAACCATCTGGACACAGAGTGCTCTGAGGAACCCCAGTTGAACATGAACATTGGTCTAGGTGACCTTCAGGGGTCTCTTGCAAACGGAATCATTATGGGATTCTGGAATTAAAATCCCTGGTGCCAAACCAGCCTTAATGAATTTAAATTTTTTTCAACATTTGCTGCTTGCTGGACTCCAGAATACCCTCAGTCCTCAGAACATGATCCATCCCACCAAACCAAGGTGCCACAGGCCTTGTTCAGGTGCACACAAGCAAGGAGGAGTGACACTGAATCCATAGATATTGCAGAAGAGTAGAAATGTATAAAATGGGCCAGGAAAAAGTCTGTTCTAAGAGGGGTTCACGTTCCTCAGCCTGCTCCTCCTGGAAGACAGCAGGGAGCAGTGAGGAAAACACATATACCTTCAATGAATGGATGACATTCCTGTTTGAGAGATATAAACCTGCACCTCTTATACCTTATTCATCTGCTGCATTTTCTATTTTTTTTGATTCCATAAATTAGATGTTTTATGCCTTTCTAACCCATAACACAGCAGGGCTGCCACTGGACAGGAACTGAAGTCTCAAAGCAGCATAGATGAAAGAGCAGCTCTGCAGCAGAACAACATGAAAACTAACATAAAGCTGAGGAATGGGTAAAACATTGTGAGAAAACTTCTGGAAAGCTAAAAATGAGAGAATGCTCTGGTGAAGCAACAGCAGCACTACCCAGGGCAGTCCACGCTGGTGGCCAGGACTGACCAAGCCACTGAACATCACATGCAAGAGGCAAGCACATGGGGATTAGAGGGAAACAAAGCCCAGACAGGAACACAGACACTGCTGTGCTGCTCTGGTGTCTCTTGTTTTGAGAGGAATGGCAGGGAGATGCCAGCTGGGATGAACAAGTGTTTTCCCAACACACCAGATGCCACATTTAAAGCAGTCTGGCCAAATCCTCCCCCTGATTCCTGTGGGCTTTGTCTCAGGCCCTCTTTATGGAGTATTCCAAGGGGGGTTTGCTGTACAAGCCTCTCTCCAGCCTGCAGAGAGGAGCTGTCAGCCCCACAGCCCATCCTTACGCACCGCTGGACCAGCTCCTCCCGCAGCCGCTTTGGGACCAAGGGCCTGTCCAGCTTTATCTCCATCACCAGGAACGTTCCTGCCTCGCTGTATTGCTGTGGAGATAAACATTGCTCCCTGTGTCGTGCTGTCTGCAGCCAGTGCTGGCACAGTGAAATACTGAGCACACAGCCACAGATCTCCCAACTGCAGAGATCCAGCTTGTTTTATAACCCGCCCTCGGAATGAGTTACAGCAGCAAAACCCAGCTCGAGAAACCAGGCTAGGGAAAAGGAGAGAGCCCAGATAATCAATCTGCCTGCCGAATGAATGTGCATTCCAGAGGAAGAAGCCAAAATATGAAGGGATAATTTAAATTAATGCCTGACAATTTACAGAGACCTTCTAGCCCAGTGCCAACCTGCTCTCCAGGTGGACGTCACTGGAAGAACTCTGGGACAACATCTACGTAAAACAACCCTTGTCTAACTCACTCTTGAGGAATTTAATTGTGTGAAAGGTGTAAGACATCAGCACAGTGATGCTCTACAGTCTCTCCTTCTCTTTGGAGAGACATAATTACCTGTCCTTCAAGGCTGAGATTTGTGACATTTTCAGATTCTCCAGTGCCATTTGACAACTGGATTTTGGATGGGCTGAGTAACTACTAGGAAAAAGAAAAGATGTCTCTTGTTTCAGACTCAATAAATCTCAAATCTTTGCAAGTTCAAGCAGCACATCCTAGGATTTCAGATAAGGGAAAGCTGCAGCTTCCTTACAAGAAGCAGCTCCAATCTCTCTGTGACCAGTGACAGGACCTGAGGGAATGGCTGGAGCTATGCCAGGGGTGGATTAGGCTGGATGTCAGGGAAAGATTCTTCCCCCAGAGGGTGGTTGGGCACTGTCACGACCCCAAGGCTACCAGAGCTCCAGGAGTGCTTGGACAATACTGTCAGGCACAGGGTGGGATTGTTGGGGTGTCTGTGCACGGCCAAGAGTTGGATTCTTGACCCTTGTGGATCCCTTCATGTTGAGAAGATTCTATGGGTCTAGGATAATAAGTATCTCTCCGTTGGCTGAGGCAACTGAGACAGCATCCATCCCTGGTTCCTGTGTGTCCCAACTTCCTGTGACACAGAAACAGAGCAACCATGGTGCCCTGTGCCTCCCTAGACCTTACCGTTGCACTGGAATCTTTCTCTTCCTTCTGAGCCTTATTGGGAGCAGCTTTGCTAGCAGGAGAGGTCCCCAGCCTTTCCTTGCCCAGACTGAGCTGTGACCTGCGATCCCGGAAAATACTGTACTGAACTCTGGTCTGAAAAATAGAGGCAACAGAGAGAATCAAGGGACAAAGCAGGCTTCCTCACTCATTTGCCTTAACCTCTCTCATCACAAAACATACTGTCAGGGTCTTAAATGCCTTAAGAAGTTTTGTAACCTCATTCTCTCCTCTTAGAGTTCAGCTGCTGGTGCTCCAGCCCAGCTCTGATCCTGTGTAGCTGTGAAGCCTCAGGTTAGACTGTGAGGCTCAGTGGGGGTCTCTCCATCTTCCCTCAAAGAACTGTGTTTTCACTGAGGACTGGCCCTTGGTCCTTGCCTGAAATATGTGGTGAACACGCTGGAACACAGATCCATGATCCTGAATTCCTGGTGGGATCCTAGACCTGCCTCACAGCTATGGATTTGCCTGGTGATGAGGGCTGCTGGATGAATCTGGCTTCTCTCACCAGGCCTGCTCCACACATTTTTGGGGGTCCCCACCTGCCTGACAGCATCTCTTGGCTCCCAGCTCATTTTCTGGTGTAGAGCAGCATCCCTGACACACAACAGGGAATTGCAAGGAATAGGTTTGTCAGACTGTGTGTTTACACAGTGTTTGACCACCTAGACAGGCCGTTCCCTCCCACACATCCTGGTTACAGGAACTGGGCTAGCAAGAGTTATGGGGATCCTGGGGAGAGGATGGGGAACTCCTTAGACCTAGAGGCAACCCAAAGCACCTGGGGAGTAAGAAGGACTTCACTTGTGACAAATAAATGGCACAGGACAAGCAGCACCATGCAGCCCAGGGGTCATTATTCATGAAGAGCCCAGCAGACACTCGTTCCCAGCCCAGCTCAGCAGCAGCCAGTGGGAACAGGGAGGCAGGAGAAGGGCTGGAATTCACTGAGCCCCTGCACCTGGACCACAGCCCCACAGGGAACATGGGGGGTAAAACCAGTCTGTACATCTGCCCTCCCGAAACAAGCTCAGGTCTGTTCCAGGAGGGAGAGACTGTGGGAAAATGGAGATGTAACTGTCACTCTTAGTAACAGAGAGGGAAAAACGAAAAGACAAATAAACCTCGATGAGCTAGAGCTGAAAGAGCTCCAGTGACAGCTTTTTTGGTGGTTGCCGGGGGTAACGCAATCCTTTCAAAACCACTGTTTGCTCTTCCCAGCAACACCGTTCCCTTGCCCATGTTCCAGACTGAGGAGAGTGGATCATGCTGGCATAGGAGGGAGTGGAGTGAGATTCAAAACCTCTCTCAGCCCCCAGACCTGCTCACCCCGCCCCAGAAATCCCCTGCCTTGGAGAAACCTTCACCTAAAAGCTTGTATCATTAATTTTCTCCAACACCAGAAGGGCACTCATGGGTCAGATCCACATCCAACTAGCATGCTGTCCACCCTGCCTGCTCCCAAACACCCCCTGTCCACCCTGCCTTTTCCCAAACACCCCCTGTACACCCTGCCTGCTCCCAAACATTCCCCGTCCACCCTGCCTGTTCCCAAACATCCCCCTGTCCACCCTGCCTGTTCCAAAACACCCCCTGTCCACCCTGCCTGCTCCCAAACACCCTCTGCCCACCCTGCCTTTTCCCAAACACTCCCACGTCCACCCTGCCTGCTCCCAAACACCCTCTGCCCACACTGCCTGCTCCCAAACACTCCTCTGTCCACAGTCCCTGCTCCCAAGCCCTCAGAGCAAACCCAGCTGCAGAGCTGGAGCAGAGCCTGCTGCTCTCACCTTCTCAAACACCTCGCTGTCCTGGTAGTTAAAGACACGGAAGGCCCCTCGGATCTGGTTCACCCCAGGGCACAGCAAATGCATCATGTTGACATATGCCACGCCATGGAAGGCAATCTGCTTGTCCTCATCTCTCTGGAAACACAGAGCAAGGCACTGAGATCCTGAACAGGCTGTTATTCTCCTTAAGGGAACAAGGTCACCAATCTCATTAAGAGAAGGCCACACAGCAAACTGATGCACCTGATGAGCCCGTGGTTCTGTCACTGGCACGCAGCCGAGACAACCTGGATGAATACACTGGAGTCATTCCATAAGTAGAATATTAATTTTATCCCAATACCTGTGGGACAGCTTTCTCACTCTGCTATTCCTCAGGATGGTGTTGTTGAGATACAGCTGGAAGATTATCAGCTGTGGGTTTAGAAATCCAGGTGACCCTACCAGAGTTGTGCATCTCAGGCTGGACAGACACCAAGTGGCTTAGGAGGTGTGGGAGGCCTGGCTAGAAGGATCATCATCAGAGCTCTAAAATCCTGGCACTGTGAGTGCTGAAAGGGATTTACACCAACTTATATAGCTTTGCCCTGGGATAGATTAGGAGCTCTCACACAATCATCTGCCAGGAGCAGAACCATTCTCTAAGGGGCTGTTTCTCTGTTAAACCACCCTGGTTTAGATGCAAAAGCATAACTTACCTACAGACTGAGAAAGAATGCAAGCACTTCCTCAAGCTGTTTCAAAACCCCACTGGCCAAATATCAGCTCAGTGAATTACTTTTAATTGTCTTCAAAGCCAGGCTGGACAAGCCTCTGAGCCACCTGGTCTAGTGGAAAGTGTCCCTGCCCGTGGCAGGGGGTTGGAAGGAGATGGAGTCCGGGGTCCCTTCCAACCCAAACTATTCTGTGATTTTAAAAGCCACCCTGTCCCCTTTCCAGTGAGCTAGCACAGACCAACAGTGAGAGCTATAAGGAAAAAATTATGACCCTGTGTCTATTTAACAGCCCTATAAAGCTGATTTTTCACAAAGCCTCCTGCTCTCTAACTCACTTTGGCAGCTTCAAGGCTGATTTTGGTATCACAATGGCCTCAAGAGGAAAATGCCTGATAATGCAATACTACTCCACAAGCCAGACCCCACTTTTACCTTGTCAACTTTGCTGGCTTTCCCTTTGCCACCTGAGGTCATCCTGCAGAGCTCCACGGGCCAGTGGCGACACTCGGCAATGCGCGTCTGCAGGCTGGGCACAAAGGATGCAGATGCACTGAGGAGATGCAGCAACCCAGCTGGAGAGCCCCACCACCCTCCTCTGTGCCCCAGCAGCTCCTCTTGGGTTTGCTTCACCCTGTTCCCTCAGCAAACACCCTCAGGCCATGGGAAAACTGTGATTTGGGGCAGGCTGGGTATATTTTCTGCTCTACCCACTGCTGTGTGCATTTAGGGCACAGCCAGCTTTAAAACAACTGTGAGAGCAGCACATTGGGCTTTCTCTCTCCCCCAGTTACTTCAGAAATAAGTAAGAAGGAATGTGATTAACTTTGGTATAAAACCTGAATTGTACAGAGCAAGTGGATCCTGAGCTTGCATTCAGTATGGCTGGTGACTCTTACACCAGCAGGCAGGTGGATGGATGTGTAGGGAAAAGAATTTAAAAAATCAAATGAGATAGAAGTGAGTATTTCCACACAAGGAGTAATTTGGCTGTGAAATGCACAGCCATGATGCAGCTGAGGCCAGAAAATAGCAGGATTCAAAGATAAATGGAACACTCATCCTGATCTTGAGCGTATCTGGAGCTGCTAAAGGCAACACTTATCCAATAAAAAAGCAAATGAAGAGTGCCCACATGGAGTGAAAGGTTTGAATGTATTTGGAATTCAGTAAAAACTTAATTAGCAGCTCAGAGGAGAGCTGTGCATGCCACTCTAGTCCAGGTCTGCTCACAATAACAGCTGCCCCTTCCTTCAAGCTATGCAGGGACCAGCCCCCAGCCCCAGCTGCTGGCAGCAGGAGAGAGCATTTGTGGCCTGGAGACAGCAGCTCCAAACAATTCATCTTTTCCCAGCACAGCAGAACAAAGCTGCTGCCAGCAGTTCAAGGCACTTCAAGAGCTGTGCCCTTGCTCAGATGAATGCTTGTGGCCAAGAGACAGCCACAGCAGTCATGGCAGGTGAGGCAGAGCCACAGCTTGACCTCTAAGTGGTCCAAGAGCACGTGCATGTTGCAGCTCCTTGCCTCAGGTCATTGTGAGCATGTTCTGGGCTGGGTTGCTCAGGTCCCTTACATGGCCACTGCAGCAGCATCCAGGAAACAGCGTATTTCCGTGTCCCACACGACTCTCCTCGTGCTCTCAGCCTGCATCCTGAATTCCCTGTCCTGTGAGAAACAGCGTGCAGTCAAAGCCAGGACAGCAAACTCCACAGCCTGCATCATCCTCAAAAGTGTCCCCAGGAGAGAATGTGAGTCAGACAGAAGTGTCCAAGTGCCCATAGGCAGGCCAGCCCCACAGAGAGGCTGACAGCCTTTCCTGCAGACACCATCACCGTTAAGTGCCTGGCTCATGGGAGATAACCCAGCTCCCAGCCCAGCAGCTCACTGTGGGAGTTTTCTGGGACCAGACCTGCCACATTCTCCTTTGGGATGTCTCCAGCAGTGAGTCAGTATGTCTGCTGTCCCAGGGGAACCACCTCTGTGCTGGACACTGCACAGTGACCACCCACCTCCCTCTCATATCAAGGCTCTCCGTTCCTCGTGGTTCTCTTCCAAACTTGCCAATCCATCCTCACCTCACTTTTGGTGAGCTCTCCATCCTCATCCTCATAGGGCCCACCAACAATGAAGGAGTTAGGTATGTTCAGAGCATCAGGGGCCAGGATGGGGCCAAGAGGCCAGTTTTTGGGCCGGGGCAATGGTTCTTTCTCATCATCAGCCTTCAGGATGCCATTCTTGAAGAGCAATGGCAATTCTTTCTAGAGAGACAGGAGAAACAAAAGATTTGCATTTCTAACAGGAGCAGGAGCAAGAGCCAGCTGCTCCAAGCTGGGATAACAAAGCAAAGCAACAGTACAGGGTGCCTGGCTTGGAAAATGCACTCCACCACATGCATACAAAGAATGGAATAAAAATAAAGAGCCATGTGGAAAAAACCCTGCCAGTTTGAATCCAAATCTTTCCAAACAGACCTTTGTTTGTGTTAAAGAAACACATCACGCCACAGAGACTCTGAGACCTCCCAACAAACGCTGCTGGTACACAAGCACAGAAACTGTGCACTCCACATGCCTGGACACTTGTTCCATGGGGTGGGAGAACAACCCAAACCCAGCCAAACCCTCTGTCACTGTGCCTGGACCATTCTCACCTCACCAGCTACTGGTATTTGCAAACAAGCCATGTAGTTTTGCTGGGCGTCAGGAGTAAAGGCTTCAGGGACAGAATAAGCTGCCTCCAGCGTGATGCTCAGGAGGTTTCCACTTGAGAACTGGGTGGCAGAGAGCAGGAGCTCTTTGGTGCTCACTGTCACTTCAAGGCCAGCCTGTGAGACAAAGACAAAATCGAGCCAGTATACAGACAATTATAACCTGCCTGCTCTTAGGGAGAAGCAAGCAGAAACCCAAGGCCAGAACATATAATGTTATCTTGTGCCTCATCTCCGATGTAAAAGAAAACAGCCCAGCACAGGAAAGGAATCTCGGGACCAATTTGGCTCAGTTGTGGTATTTGTTTAAATCACAGCCTGGCTAAGGTATGGCACATGCCCCAAGGGTCTCATAAAATGAGCTGTGGAGAAAGAGGCAGGATCTCATGAAAGGAGCCTGAAATAGAGAAAGAACATCAAGGGTGGAAAATGATGTTTTCCCCTGGTGATTCAGAGAGCCACAGCTTTGCCTCTGCCCTATCTCCATGCTCTGTGTGCAGCCTTTAATTACCTGGCCCAGCCCTGGATGGATGGTGTGTGAGGGAAAACCAGCTGGTCAGCATTTATTACCTGTCCTCCCTAATGAATGCCCCCCCACCTTGCTCACTGTGAACTCTTCTTAAACACAGAGCTGTTAATGGGATATCCACCCCTCCAGTTTGCTCCCGGTGCTCACTGCAGGCAGGCTCAGCAGCAAAATTGGACACATTTTCCCAGCCTCATACTTCATTCCCTATTTTAGTCATTGGGTACTTTGCAACCTGCTGAATGAATAAGGTCCTTGCAGGAAAGGCAGTCAGAGTTTTACAATAATGGACTCAGACATTTTGTCTCCAGAAAGGAAGGCTAATAAAGCTGGGCAGGTGACCCTGCCACTGCCTTTTGGGGAGTTTTCAGCACTGTGCTTTCCATCTTTGTTTTTTTTTTTTTTTTGCAGAGCAATTGGGTAGCTGCACACATTAACATTTCCCAGCACGACCTCCCCTATCAGAGGGAAGCAGGGACAGACGTCAGAGGGAGCGGGAAAGGCCTCCAAGCCTGTAACATATAGGGCTGTACCACATCCGTGATGAGCCAGGCAGCTGAGTCATGCTCTCCCTCCCATTAAAAAGCAGCAGAGAGCTGAATGAGGGAAGGAACAGTTCCAAATTCCACATACCGTGGCCTTGGGGTGAAACATCGCTGATGGGGAGGCAGGCACTGCATACAAAGGAGCAAGAACCTTCAGTGAACGCACTCCTGGGAAGAAACAGGAATGAGAACAGCCTGAAGTGAGACCCTCTGCAAAGAATCACAGTCATGGAATGATCGGGGTTGGAAGGAACCTTAAAGATCTCCTTGTTCCAGCCCCCTCCCATTGGCAGGGACACCTTACATGAGGCAAAATCGTGGTTCTGAATTTTGATTTCATTCTGAATGAATTCTGAATGCTGAGCTACTCTCTCTCCCCGAGTCAGATTTTGCAGAGCTATGAAGGTCACTTTGTCCAAAGGAGATAAATTGTAGTCAGGGGTCCATAAGCAGAGATCAGAAACTGCCAGGGAGCAAGCAGTGGTCGTGGAGGCTGTAAAACTCAATGCTGTACCTTGCAGCAGAGGTAGAAGGTCCACCACAGCTTGGGCAACAGGAGTGACTTTCTCTGCTTTTTTCTTCTCCTTTGCTGCCAATTCTAGCAGTGTCACTAGGGAGATAAAAAGAGAGGAGCTGGCAGAGTTCCTTGGACCAGCAGGTCAGGCACCAGGGAGGCTCTGTGCGAGCTCTGGCTCAAGCTCCTGTTCACCTCCTAAGGCTGACAAGCACAGCAAAGCCAAAGGAGCACGGGCCAGCATGAAAAAGGATTCTTCCAGCTGGCAGAGATGGACAAGAAGTGCTGAGAGCCTCCCACCACTGCTGCTGAAGTGCTATTCCTGAACCAGTGACTCCTGCAGCGACAGCACCCAGCTCCAAGGTGGGAGATCTGGCACCAGCTACTTACAGAGCAGTGGTTTCTGCACAAGGACATCCAAGGAGTTGGGCCCATCGGGGCTGTACTCAAAGCTGGTGCTGAAGTCGTATTCTGCTGTCCCATCTGGCAGCACATTAGTCTTGGAGGACTCTCCCAGGACTGCTCCGTTGTACTCCACACGCACCACCGTAAACAGCAAGTTGCTTTTGAGAGTTTTCTGTCAGAAAATAAAAGAGCTCAGAGAGCAGCTGGCTCTGCAGCAGCAATCCCAGGATCAGAGTTCCTCTGGCAGCACTCAGGACAGGGCTCGCTTGTAGGAATCTGCTGCACCACAGGAATGGGGAAGAGGAGCAGAGCTTGTCCACACTGAGACCTCGCCATTCCCTGTCTTTAGGAGGGAAATTTCCTGTTTCACCATGCTGTGATGCCCCAGAGATTATCAGGAGCTGTGGCAAGCGAGACAGAGAGGTTCAGGCTTCACCTCAGGAAAGACACATCTAAACCAAATCCCAAAATACTCCACTGATATTTTTGTACTTCCAGGAAGCTTGAGACCTTTGCTGTCTCCTAAGAAAGCAGCTCCTGAGCTACAGAGATGAGCTCACAGGACACCTGTGGATGTTGTGTGGTGCAGAATGTCCTGAAATGGACAAGAGAAAACAGACTCAAGTTGTACCAGGGGAGGCTTAGGTTGGATATTAAGGAAAATTTCTCCACTGTAAGGGTGGTCAGGCACTGGCACAGGTTCCTCAGGGAAGAGGGGGAGTTTCCATTCCTGCAAGTGTTCAAAAGACACGTGCATGTGGCACTTGGGAACATGCTTTGGTGGTGTCCTTGGCAGTGCTGGGTTAAAGGTTGGACTTGATGGTCTCAGAAGCCTTTTCCAACCTAAATGATTCCATGATTCTGTGAAATCAAAGGAAGGGCTTCAGCAAGCTCTTAGGGAGATCTGCAATTTGTTGTTACACCACCTTCATACCACTTGCTTTAACCAGAGATGAGGACATTCAGATTTTACTTTGAAGTTCAAATGTCTAAACAGAGGGGCTTAAACAGAGCTGGAGAGGGACAGTGAGGGCAGAGCACATGGCAGTGGAGACCCACAGGGGCAGTGTCAGGCACCTCCACAGCACAGGAAGTGCTGGGCAGCAGGTACCAAAGGGCTCCCTGCAGCAGAAACACAGTTCAGCTCTCAATCCACAGAGAAGTGGCTGAACACAAGGACCATTGTACCCAAGCCCAGCTTTTCCTTAGTGCTGAGCCACAGGGATGCCTACCCCGCCCTCAGCTCCCTCTCTCCCTGTCACTGGAGTAATTAGTTCCATGCTGGTTCTTACACAAAAAGAGATCTCTTTCACTTGGTTTTAATTTTCAGCCCTCACTGTCTCCTTGAGCATACATCCTATGAATGGCTAAACAGAAGAATCCAATTAACCTTTCCCTGTACCATTAATTATCCAAGACTCCTCTCTCATCCTTCTCTACATTGCCTCTAATTAAGCAGATTCCACACTTATAGCTAGAAGTGGATTCCACATTCTTACAGCCGGTTTTTTTTTCATACTGTTGCTGTGATTATTGCCCTCTTGTAACCCCCCTCCCTTTTGTACAGCTCTTTCTCACGGTGGAGCAATCAGAACCACAAAGCAACATTCCAGATGCAATCAATCCAGCAGTCTTTACTTCCCAGCATTGTTTATCCTCCTCTCACCTCATACCTCACCTAAGCTGCTGTTTGCTGAATCCATCACTGTAAGAGGTACTTCAGTACTACAATGTGAAAGCCTCAAGCAGGTGCTTTTGGATTGCTTTTTCTGTCTGCTGCTGGAGCAGAAGCAGGGATTTGCATTTTTTCTGCTTGCAGCAGGAGCTGAGCTTCTCCTCCACATTCCCTCCCCAAATGCCAGTTCCTCTGGAAGACTTTAAGGACAGCTGGGTGCATCACATGGAAATCACAGCAGCGGTGGTTTGATTGGCACCAGCTCATAGCCTTGAACTGGATCCACTGCCTTTTTAAAACCAGAGCCACCCTATTGTTTTCAATATGATTTAAACAGCTGGAGCTGGGAGGAAAATCTGGCTTTTCACCCAAGGTGAGGTCCTTTCACAGGTTTTTGTCTCACTGATCACATTTTTGCTGTGTTCTGCTTTAAAAACTTGCCATACAGTTTTAAAAAATTTCCATACAGTTAGAGGAGGCAGAGAGGTACATTTCACCCCAGTATGTCTGGCCTGCTGCTGGGGAAATATGTTCCCCAATTTATGCGCCTCACAAGATTTTTCCTCTGTGTGAACACCTCAGCGGGGAGGAGGAAGCCACAGTGTGGCATTGCTGAACCTCTGATACTTCCACCACTCCTTCCTTTAGCCTTGTCACCCCCTGCCTGCTCTCACAGGGGATCTCTGTGCACACAGAATTGCTCTGGCCTTGTTTATTAAATTAGCAGAGATATTTTCAGAACTTTACCAGGTCTTGAGCATTCCCGACTGTGATCTGTACTGGTATTGGCTGTGACATACTGGGAAGAGCTGCAGCAGCAGGTTCCTTCCCACCAGTCAGCCCCGCAGGGACCTCCACGGCTCTGCAGGAGAAAGAATGAGGAAAGAAACATGAAACTGCTCCATTCCTCTCCCAGATACCTCTGCAGGACGCAGCAGTGCAGGCTGCAAGCGCTATTCAGGGCTTGGCTGTCAAAACACCATTGAATGCACAGGGCTTTGGCAGTGACGAATCTCTCACGAGGTGCAGGGGGAGGACTGGGAAAAATGTAATGTGAAAATTATCCATCCCTGTAAGCTTCACCCAGCTGCTGCTCCCAGGAAAGGGTTTGTTGTGCCAGGCTGCTCTCAGCTCCCAGTACATCCCTGGCTCTCTTTTACTCCCTTTTTAAGTTCATGGTGATCCCATGGGCCAAAGGCTGGTGGCCACCAGCTGTCCCCTCATGGCTCCCAAATGCCGTGGGAACCTGGCTCCTTCCTGGCTCCTTCTGCTCCTCAGGTTGGTGAATCCCTCAGGATTCCCCCAGGGCTCCCCAGGGACCCCAGGGCCCCCTCGCCTCGCACCCCCAGGGCCTGGCCGCGCCCTCAGGGCAGCACTGATGGGCTCGGGGCTGCTCTCACCCTGCTGTGGTCCTGCAGCCCCTCACCGACCCGGGGGTCTGCAGCAGCCCCTCACCCAAGGGCCTGGCGGTTCTCCTGCCCCAGAACGGTCCTGCAGCCCCTCACCAACAGTCCCGGGGGTTTTCCCGACCTGGGGTGCACCTACAGCCCCTGAGCCACGGGCCTAGGTGCTCTGCTGACCCGAGAGCTCCTCACCCACGGGCCTGGAAGCTCTCCTGCCCCAGAATGGTCCTGCAGCCCCTCACCGACAGTTCTGGAGGCCCTCCCGCCCTGGGGGGATCCTGCAGCCCCTCACCGGGAGCCCGCCGGGGCACCGTGCGGCGTCGGGGCTCGAACCTACAGCTTCCCCAGGTCGGCGGAGGGCTCGCGTCCCGTCTCCACAGCGACGCGGCGGCTCCCGCAGGCCCCCGAAACCTCGCGGGACCCCGGCCCAGCCCCGCGTGTTGGGGGCGTGCCCGTGAGGCCGTGGCTGCCGCCATGATGGGTGTGGGCAGCCCTCACCAGCCCCCGGTGGGGCGGGGGTCCCCCCGAGCTTCCCGTGTGAGGTGGCGGTGCTAACGGCCACCATGTCCCCCTTTGCCGCCTGGTGTGCCCGGCTGCTGCCAGAGCGCACTGCCGGCCTCCGCCCCGGCTGGCACAGATCGTGGTGCCCACCCAGGCACTCCCTCGCACCCCGCTGGGGGCCCTGAGGCGGTGGGAGGGGGGTGCCCGCAGGCCGGGCTGGGGTGGGGTCCCTATGGCAATGGCTTTGTGTCCCTATGGTCACAAAGGGCTCCCAGGGGTTTGGGCAGCCCCCCGAGCTCCCCGCAGGTTTGCAGTGTGGGACGCTACAGGGTTTTGGGGCACCCCACCGCCACCAGCGCGGCTTTTGGGGCGGGAGCCGGACCCCCGGAGCGGGTTGGCCCGTTCCCGGGGAGGGGATGCCCAGAATAGCTCCGCTATCTGATTCCGAGGGGCCGCTGCCGTCTGCGCCGCCGGCTCCCGGGGGCTGACATTTGAGCCCAGCCGCGGGACGGGACGGGACGGGCCGGGCGCCGGGACTGCCCGGGATCTCCTGGCACTGCCGGGATAGGAGCGGGATGGCGGGCGGGAGGCGCCGTGCGGGTGGCGGGCGGCGCGGGGGACCCCGGCAGCAGCCCGGGACCCCCGGGCCGGCCTCCTCGCCGGCACCTCTCTCTCCTGCAGCCACCCCGGCCCAGCCAAACACAGGCGCTACTCCCAAAACCGGCCGCTCCAAGAAGGCCCCGGAGGAGCCAGCGGCGAGGGCTCCAGACGTGGACTCGCTGGGCTTTCAGGCCATGGACCGCAATGTACCTGGGCTGTCCCACGTCATCCTGCAGAAGCTCAACATGAAGAGCTATGAGGACTACAAGTGAGTGAGCACCCTATTCCCCACCCCCTCCCCGCCATGTGTCCCCCAGCAGCTGGAGCAGCTCCCATGGCTCATCCCACCCTCCCCGGCTGAGCCCACCGGGAGCTCTGATGGGCTTCTGGGTGGACCCCTCCAGAGTGCCTGGCTCCCTGTCCCCACCCAGGCCAGGATGCTCCTGGCTGGAACTAAAAATCTTGGCAGCCTCAGAGGATATCAGCCCCACCCTTGTGGCAGCAGGCTGGATTCTGCTCACCTCTGACATCTGCAGGTCTGCCATGGATGGGAGGAAGAGCGGCAGCGATTTCGGCATCCGGACATATTTTGACATGTTCCAGAAGATGGAGGACACCTTCAAGTTTTGCGTTGAGTGCAAGAAGCTCCCCGATGCCCTCCCGGACCCCAAAAGCCTCCGGCGTTGTAAGAGGTATGGTGGAGAGATGGTCTGATGGCACAAGGATGGATCCATCCCTCACTGCCAGCCTGGTGGCTGGGGTGGAGTGAGGGGTGTCTGTGCCCTGTGCCCACCTCCAGCTGCTGGGCACCCCTATGAACAGTGACACAGCCCTGAGAGGGGGTGGCAGGGAACCAGGCTCGGTGGGCTGGATTGTGCCCTCCCTCTCCATGCTGCCTGTCTGCCCAGGTGCCAAAATGTGTACTACTGCGGCGTGGCGTGCCAGCGTGCCAACTGGCCACTGCACAAGAAGTTCTGCAAGAAGCTGAAGCTGGTGGCCCTGGACCGGCTGGTGGAGTGGCTCGTCTTCACAGGTGAGGCATGTGTCCCCCTGGGATCCCCATCCCGGGCTGCACAGGTCCCGTGGTGGGATGTAGCGTCCATTCTCCAGCCCCACTCCCACAGCACAGGTGGGACGGGCAGCCTGGGCTGTGGCACCACCGCTGTACCCTCCAACCGCCTCCTGACCCCCTAGGAGACATCCCATTTCCCACGGATGCCTGGACAAAACCTGCTTGGGATGTGAAGGGCTGGGAGGACTGGTTCTCCATGCAGGAGCAGCTGGAGGAGAAGCTGGGTGCCATCGTGTCCGGGCGGTACATGACCCTGCTGTGGGCCAACGCCGGGAAGCCGCGGCCGGAGGACACGGAGCTGCGGGAATCCATCCGGCGCCTGGTCACCGACTTCCACTCGCGGCCGCTCACCATCGGCCTGGCACTGCGGCTTTTTGGCATCGACCCCCTCACCAGGCCCCTCACCGTGCACGTGGTGGGGGCTTCCCACGTGGAGACCCTCAACACGCGGCTGACGGACTACGATGAGCTGACGCGGATGTTCCCGGGGCACCAGGGCGTGGAGATGGTGATGGTGGGGGTGGACGTGGTGGACGGACCCATCATGAGGCCACCCCTGACCACGCTGGCGCCCCGGGGAAAAGTCTATCTCAGCAGCTACAAGGGGCTCTACCACGACTTCTGGGAAAGCCACGTGGAGACCAAGCTGGCTGCCCCTCCTGACCTGGTGGTGGGCTTTCACCCGGGTGAGTGCCTGTGCGGTGGAGGTGTTGGACCCTCACACCCCACTGCAGGGATAGGGACATCCACAGGGCACATGGGCTCAAGGACCACCCTGAGCACCTTGGCAGCACCTGTGGCTGGACCTGAAGGTGGCCTGGGACATACTCAGGGCTTTGCACCAAGGCACATCGGGCAGCTGGGGGGACCCCCTGGGACATGGCTTCCTTGTCTCCCCACCAGGCACTCTGTCCCCTGCCTGTGTCACCCACCTGCAATGGATCCTTCCTGGTGAAATGGATCCTTCCCTTCAGGTCTCAGTGCTGTGGCTTAGCCCAGGACCCAGAGTTTGGGGTGCCCCACATGCTGGTGGGGAGCCAAACCCCACCTTGCTGAGGGCTGCCAAACTCACTGCGTACTTGGGGTGTCCAGCACAGAGTGGATGCAGTTGGAGCCGGCTTTCCCCGGGGCCAGGGTGGGATGGGAAAGCGGTGGAATCCTCATGGCTGTGTCCCCACAGGTTTCCATGCCTGCCCAGACCTGCTGGCGGGCTGGCTGCCCACCCTGCTGCTGCTGCGGGACTATCGCCTGCCCGTGCTCTTCACCGTGTACAGGTGAGCACAGCCCCAGCGCCCCGGTGAGCCGGCACAGACACCCGGTCACTGTGCCTGTCCTCTCTTCTGGCAGTGAGCAGGAGCTGAAGGCCTCCCTGCAGATCCTTGTGGAGCTCGAGATGCACATTGTGGGTTATGCCAGCAACCCCTTTGCCTCACTGCGGCCCGAGCAGGTCTATTCGAGCCCCAACAAGCCACCCGTCTACTGCAGCTCCCACTACATCGCCCTGCTGGGAGCAGAGGCTGTGCCGGGGGCTGAGGAGCTGGAGGATGATGATGGCTGGAAGGGAGGAGAGCCCAGTGCTCCTGCTGTGGCTGGGGACATTGCCCCACGGCTGGGCTGATTCCTGCCTGCCCTGACCACCCGACCCCGAGAGCCTCGCTGCCCATCCAGGACGCCATCCCCACAACCTGGGATTAGTGATCCAGAAATCCCTCACTGCACACATGGAGGCGTGGGGGATGCAGCACCCCAGCACAGGCATGGCACCCTTCCACAGCGCCAAATAAATCACTATCAGCAACCAGCTGCCGTGTCTCGAGCTTTATTTCCAAAAAGGCCTTTGTTTTCCTAAAGAAAACGAGGGGCTGAGTGCACCCCAGCCCCCTCGAGCAGCCACGGCCTCTGGAGGGACAGCGAAGGGGACCCTGACTGCAGGACCAGCGGTGCACAGGGCTGTGCAGCCCCTTGGGGTCTGGTGGGGAGCCCCAGCCCAGCGCTTGGCTGTCACTGTCACTGTCACCCTCACTGTTCTCCCACGCTGGTGCCTACCCTGCAGGGCACTGCTCCAGCCTGGCACCGGCCACCAGCCCGGCCACAGCAAATGGGCGCCAGCTGGCCCCTCCCCACTGCTCGCCAGCCTCGGTGGCCCTTGAGGACACCGGGGCGGGTGGAGTCGAGGGAACCAGCTCCCGCGGCATCGCCCGACGCTGCCGGGGACCCGCGCTGGCCTGGCGTCCCCTCCTGGTGCAGCCAGCGGGTCTGGCATGGCAGTGGTGGCACTGACCCGTGTGGGCACCCACGGGGCTCAGGGAGGCCAGCACACCCCAGGGCTGCCAGCGCCCTGACAGCGGGTCCGGGTCCCTCCCTGGGCTCTGCGCCTGTCGGCGGGGCCGAGGTGGGCAGAGCTGGCACAGTCCAGCACGGAGTGGCACTGCCGGCGTCACTCGGCGCCAGCGCGTTCCCGCAGCGCGGGCAGCGTCAGGGTCTCCGGGGCCGACTTCTTCCGCGGGCGAGTCTTGGGGGGAGCCAGGAACTCGGGGGCCTCGTCGCTGAGGGGAGTGGAGGGGGCGCTGGCAGGGGCCGAGTGCGTGGCCGTGGGCTGCCCCACCTCGCTGACCGAGATGGCCGGTGCCACCAGGCCGATGAGCTCGTTGGTGGCCTCCTGCGTCTCCTGCTCGTAGCGCCGCACCTCCTCCATCGTCATCCCTGCCGAGCACAGCCGGGCTTGGGGCCGCTCGGCACGGCCGCCTCCGGCACCCCCTCATCCCGGGCAGCCTGCGCCCCGGCTCCCCGCCGAGCGGGGGGACAGGGAAGGGGATGCTGGGCAGCACAGCCAGCTCCCCGACTCCAGCGCCAGCCCAGACAGCAGACGGGAAGGGATGAACAGCCAGCGCAGGCAGGGGACACGCAGGGAGGGCAGCTGGGAGGGGGGACACTCCACCGCGGCTGCAGGGGGGGCACAAGCCCCCATGCCTGCACCCACCCCCAGGCAGCAAGGTGGGGTCCGGGGTGTCTGTCCCCGGCAGGCAGAGGGGCTTAGGGGTGCTGGCTCCCCAGCTTTTGGTTTGTGGCCACTTGCATCTGACTCTCGAAGGCCCGGACCTCTTCCAGGGACATGTCTGGAAGGCAGAGAGCCACTCACCGGATGGCCTGGCACCCACCACCAGCTGTCACCAAACCCGGGGCTCCCATCCCTGTGCCCACACGTGACAGTCACCTGCAGTGCATGTCCCTGCCAGAATGGGGGTGCAGGCAGCACAAGTGGGGTGCTGGGACCCCTCTGCCCATCCTCCCCGATGAGTGCAGGGGCGCATGCA